CGCGCGCTTACGGTCTCCGTCCCCGATTATGGCTCCTGTATATGGCACAGAAATGGCTCTTCTTGCTGTTCTTGCGAAAGTCTTGCTAGCTACCAGTGACGTTGCGACGATGTGCTGTTGCCACTGGTGGACATCTGAGAAGTTTTTTGCGTTTCTCTTTTGCTATCGGTCGTTCGAAACGTTGTACTCAATCATGTTAGAACGGCTGTGGGTCTGGGTTCGATTTCCAGTCGTTTCGGGAGTTCGGTTGTTTATCCTTCTCCCAACGAACGGCTGTTGGGGCAACTCCGGGAACGCGGGCTCACAAAACTGCTGGAATTCAAGCCTACTGTAGGTCTAACATCCCTTTTCTTTCTAGCACCATTTTCTGTTAAGGTCGACACACACTAGTCCCTTGAGGGGTTAACACGAAGGGACATAGTCGCAGGGACTTGTCCCGCGAACAGTTCACAGGAAGAGGTTTGAGAAACAAGTCGCAGGGACTTTACTCCTTGCGACTAGTCCCACGAATTCAAACTGGTTTGAACTTTCGGGACTAGTCGTAAGGACCACAGTTTGGTCCCTGCGACTAGATTTTGAACTGAGCAAAAGCGGCTATTTCACACGATGGGACTTGTACCCGCGACTTGTTGTAGGGACTGGTCGCAGGGACTAGTCCTCTCGTGTGTGTCGACCTTTAAAACTGTTTGGCTGTTTGACAACAATATTGCACGTTATGTAAGTGAATGGCTCTTGCGGTTGAGAAGTTTTCAGTCGTAATATATACTTATTCAGCCGTTGGGTCAAAGAGCCCTTTGATTACTCCATCAAAGGGCTAAATCTCGAGAGGTCAGCTTTCCAATATTTGAAATATCATCTTCAAGTTGATATTATATAAACCAAGCATTTCATATTGCCCACCGACTCATCATTACATTGTTCTTAGGAACTAATCACTTGGTATAAATGAGAACCGGCAACCTGTTACAAGACCTGACAAAATGCCTGGGGCTCAACTGGGACTACAGCATTCCATCTAAGGAGTGATCTCAGCGCACCTATACCTTAGCAAAAACTTTACTTAAGGTCATTCCACTGAAATAGAACCTTCACTGAGATTTTTGTGAAACTTTGCCTATTGATTGCTTATATTATAGGAACTTCCCCATGTTCGTTTAAGAGCAACAGCACCTTGTTTGTTTATACCCATATAGATCCTTATAATAGCACCATGATTGTAGTCACGATTGCTTGCTAAATTTACGTTTCCGACGACTGCTTTTTGTTCTACACTGAGAATTGGTCCATATTTATTTTACACAGAGAAATTTACTACTCAGTTCAAAATAACAGAAAAGAATGATAGATCACTATACTCGTTTGCGAGAAAATGACGATTTACCTCTATGGCGAGGTGCAGCTGTAAAGAAAGAGCCGCCATTTTTTAATACGCGCGCGCTAATCACGCGTGAAATTATACGCGGTAGGGATGCGCAATACAAAACTGGGGAATAACCTTAAGCACAGACCTATTCGTGTAAAACAAAATGGCTCTAAATAGACTCATTCCTTAACTCACTTAGCTTGAATATTTACAAGCAAAAAATAGTGACTGAAAACTAGAACTACGCTTAGTTGTCGTCAAGAGGTCGTTATCAAGCCGATTTTAAACTGAAGCCAGCTTGAAAGTCAAGAAACTAAAACCAAAGTGTGGGAAAGGGCATTTGCGACATTCTCTGGAAAGATATCACCAATAAGTCCATATACGCTGTACACTACACCATTTATCAACAATGCCAGTGTATTCTCAGGTAACACATGGTTTTAACTGGAACCAGTTTCAAGTAACTACTAATTGACGTGCAAAAACAACCTGTTATTCTATTCAATTTGGAGACAAAACCTCACAATAGGTGGCTAGCGCTTTGTTTAATGCTTTAAAGAAAAGATTAACACAAACAGTTAAAACAATACAGCCGATAGAACAGGCGTCTGAAAGAACTGAAAACTCCTTTAAAAATACTAAACATATCAGAGGTAAGAGAAGAAGAGTAAAATTGTCAAAATAGAAACAGAGAGAAAAAGTAAACTTTAAAGGCAGTTCTTATTTCTCATGGATATTTTCCTTGTTTTTTTGTTTTGTTTTGTTTTGTTTTTCTAAATCTCTGAGTGTGTCGTTAGGACATGATATTTTTTCGTTGTTATGGTATAATATTTTACTGTTAACGTGACCGCTTAATCTAAAACTGCATTTGTTTTTTTGTTTTTATACACCTCTAGTTGGTTTAAGAGCAGAATGCATGTCAAAAACGTTCAAATTCAACAAGCCTCGATATTAATAAATTACTTGATGTTTCTTGATCTAAAATAATTAAGTTCAATTCTTTGCTTCTTTCCCGACAAAGCGTTCTGATGTTCCCTCTAATAGGATCGACAGTCATTAATTAAGAAATATTCTTCTGGTCATACTATGTATAATCGTTTTTTCAGTTGTTTATTTTTTTCTTCACTTTCAGAAAGAACAATGAAGAGTTTTCTCATTCTTCTATTAATCACGTCGGGTAAGAATAACAAGTACAATTAGATATAATAGTGACAATAAATCAGAAAGAAATTTAAACTAAATTTCAACTGATGATGAAATCTTGATTTTAACGTTTGCATCTGGATTTCTGAGTAAAGTACTAAGCTCGTCCTCAAATTATGATTTAGATTCCTTTGATTTCAAGAATATAATTTGCATATGGCACGATAGCAGAATCGCCCGGCTTTAATACCATGGACCAAATTATGTATTATACGAAAACTTGACCAGTCCCAAACTATAACACATTACAGGCTGAATGGTTTCTGTGTGAAAACTAAACCCAGATTGGATAACCCCACGAATTGGTTTACGAGCAAGAATTTTGAAAATTATCATGTGCCATCTATCACACGGAAATCAGTCATAAATCAGTCACAACAGCAACTATTAAATCTCACTTCAACAGAAACTCTGGCTAATTTGTTATGAAATTATAAAGATGAATAAAGAAATCTAACCAAGTATGTCAAATATCGAAATTGAAGTGAGGACTTGAGGTGCAACTTAGCGCGAAGAGAATTGAACTTCAACTGTGTTGAAAAGTGTTTCAATACAGTCGATAATGCATAAAATTCTTGTCATCTCTGTAAAGCAATGTTGATTTTCAGCCTGCTTAGGTACGACAGCCAGGGAAAGCAGCGCAAAAAAGGTAAACGATGTAAAACACACCGCTGAAGCTAAACCTAACTCGAAACGGAATTGGGTTTATGGATGGCAACCTCAGCCGGAAGCTCCAGTGTACGTTCCTCCACTGGCGAGGTCCAACTCTGGATTCATGCGTCAAGAAGGCGGCAACAACCGCGGTTTTGCGTCTCAAGGAAAATCCAGTCCCACGCTGTTATCTATGACCGGTGCTGCTGAGAATGGGCCGAGTGGTACGAGAGCCCGGAATAAAGGGAGCAATGTAACAAGTGAATACAACGGGACAAAGAAACCTGCCTCGCCTGCGATTATTTATCCATTAAAAGGTAATCAAAATTTGGATGGATATTTTGAATATATAGAGGAAAAAGCAGGAACTTCTTGTAAAATCATTAATAAGCTAGTGGACCTGCAGTGTTGGACTAATTGTACTTCTCATAAATTAATGGTTTCTCTCGTTCAGAAATTATCTTCGATTAGAGGTAACCATCTTGGTGAGATGACCCCTCCTCGTGTCCGTTTCAGGAGTTTTTAAATTTAGGATTAAGCCTTAAACTGAGAAAATAGGCTATTGTGTCATTAATTGGTCCAATTTCTATCGTTACTCACTATCAAAATGATGTCATTGCTTGTCTACCCAGGGGCAAGCCACCATGCGAAACGTAATAAAACTCAAAAGAAGAGTTCAAGCTCTAAACAAGGGCAAACTCGCTCCCAGTCAACAACACAACGTGAAGCAGATGACACAGCCGGAGATGGAGGTGGAGGCCTGGGCTCTGTACTGAAGGGTGCGAACGTCCAAGGTGCTGTTGTAGAAAAAGGAATTGAAGTAATGGGAAAGCTGGTGGATAAACAACTGCAGATTATCGACGAGGCACAGGAGAAGGCAGAAAATTTCTTGAAAAAGGAGGTATGACACAATTGTATTCATACTTTACACCTCTTTCACCAAAACAAGCGTCGTGGTGCAAAATATTGAGGCTAGTAAACTACGAGTAGTCCCTCTTTCACTTGGTCCGTCGAGCGAGACCGGAAATAAACCGCGAGGAAAATATGGCCCAGGATTTCGCGAAGACATTTTTTTTCTCGCGGTTCTCTTTCGCGTCGCTAGTAGTCTAGAGGCTAGCTAACTTCACGATTGGTCACTTTAAAAAGGCTTGTTAAGTCTTTCAAACTTTTTAGACCTAAACGGATATGTCCCTAGGAACAATGTTGGGAAAAAGCTTACATTTTAACAAGATTGTAATAGCCGATCAAATGTTATTTGGAACAACATAAATTAAAGACACCATTTTGGAGTAAATTGAGATCATGATCGTTCTTAATAGGAACATTTCACTTTAATATTTTCACAGATTAAGTTGGACATCGTACCAGATAAATCTTGGCAAACGGAAGACATGTTTGTTCCTGCTGGTTACCATATGAACTCACATATCTCCAGTGACGACAGTGCACCAAAGGAAGTCGGCGAACCACCCTATACTTACCCAGCAGGCCTTGGAAACGTGCTTATGAACGGCTGTTGGGGGACTGGGTACAAGGAGGGAGATCCTTGCTACGCGGCAAGGTGGAAAATGGACGCTTGCTTGGTATGTAGATGATCGTACTATGATAGCCGGTGCACATCC